GAAGCAACTTTGCAGCCAACCAGCGGTTCCACGGCACTTTTTAATATCTGGGTTGTAGGTAAGGTGATTTAGTTCAGATGAGAAAGGAGAGAGATACCCCCTTCAGCATCAAAACATAATACAAATACTTGAGCCGTAGTCAACTTTCCATTTTGTCTAGCGGCGAAGAAAATCCGAATTAAGTTGACTCTCTTGCTAAATAGCTAGGGCTATGTTAAGGTATATAACAGAGGTGTCGAACTCATTTGTTACGAGGGCCGGATCTGACATAAATGAGACCTTGTTGGGCCGGGCCATGTGTGTGTCATAAAATGTAATGCCAAGTAGTGGAGATATAAACTTTATAAAGGACATAAAAACATGCTTAAAACATTAGCACTCTTGCAATATTTTGTCTATTTAACAGTGTCTGATAACTGACACCTCTTGTTCTGAATTATTACATCAAAATGCCTGTGCTGTTGCAATCTTGAATATGCTGTTCAGGTGTGTATCTGTAAGCTGCAAACCTGCAATGACACAGCAGCAGCGGAACTGGAAGAAGAAGCAGAAGACAGCCAGTTCCACTGCGGGCCTGACAGAAGCTCTTTGGGGGCCTGATTTGGCCCCCGGGTCGCATGTTTGACACCCATGGTATAGAAAGTCCTTTTTAGTAACTTTATCCCAAACCTTATATTTATTTTGTATGTTTTAGTTTTTATCTTGTATTATTTGAAGCTTGTAACCAGTTTCATGATAGACACACGTATATTTTTATTTCCTGTGTTTTAATGCAGATCCTATTCTGTATTTTATAACTTGTTTTGTATTGTATTTGTAACGGCCATTGGCCATATGCGATAAATCGAACTGACAAAGAATTCTGCGTAGTTTGAAATTCTGCACCCTCTTGTACTAACGGGGATGCCAGTGCACTTAAGCAACTAGCATACCTAGTTCAGATTTATTATCAGCAACACCCCTCTGTACAAACAAGAGTCATGCTACACTGAAGACGAAGGGAGAGTGGAGGAGCAGAACAGTCAGGTAAATTTTCAACATCTCTTAGTAGTGACAAGAACTACTATGAACAAATTAAACTCGACCATCTACAGAATGCCTCTAATCTGATACACTTCCTTGAACACATTAAAGGTAACTGCGTTTCACACTTATTTTTCCAGTATCAGCTCTCAGTTTGTCACAGATACAAATACGGGTCTTGTTGTAGAAAAAGAGCTGCCGGAGCTCATTAGCATAACTCATTAGCATAACTTATTTGCATATGCCACACCCCCTGACATCACCGGAAGTGACAGAAGGCCACACCCCCTGACATCACCGGAAGTGTGTCAGAAGGCCCGGCTACTTACCCTCCTGCTTCATCCTCATTCCCAAACGGAATGAGGATCGAAGCAGAGGGCGGGGTAAAGAAGGGGGCGGGGCTTCACCACGTGACAGCCCCGCCCCCTAGAGGTTCTCTTCCGGAGCTCCGTACCTGAGAGCTCCCCCCCGACTAGAGCCCTGGATACAAATACCTTTGAAAAGGTATAACTGTAATTAAAGATAACTTCTCCAAGGCTGAGAAATTTAAATACATCAGGTGTACTTGCGTTTTTATCTCCTATCTCCAACGAGCTCAGCACACATAGTTCGGACTTCCCCATTTTACCCTAAAAGCAAAGGCTGAGAGCCTGTGACCGGCCCAAGAGCACCCAGCAAACTTCCCAGGCAGAGTGGGAATCTGAACCCAGGTCTCCCAGGTCCTAGTCTAACACCACATTTGCTGTCAAGAATAGTATTAGAACATAGCTGCTGTTTGTCTGCATTTGTTTGGACCATACAAATGAGTTTTCTACTCCCTGCAGACAATACAGCATTGAATTGCTATATTGGCAGAGCACTAAAGCACAAGTCAGAATGTTCGAAAAGAAATCCAAAATAGTACATTTTGCAAAAAAGGGGGCTAGGAAAAAAGGTGGCACTTTCAGAAGCACTGCAGACATTTCAAACACCACACTACAGTGATTCAGAAGCGCAAAGAAGACCTGAAAAAACGGAAAAACGAATTAAAAAAAAAAAAGACTCAGGCCCGCTTTGCAAATATGACACAAGCAACTTTGTTTGAAATAGTTAAAAAAAATCTATTACCAGCCGGGAGCCAAAAAGGTTGTGTCTGAAATGACACACAAAAAATCTGTTCACATCCAGCAGCTAAAATGGATTACAAAGGCTGTTTGAAAGGGGTCTTAGTTGCAGCATGATACAACTGTTTAAAAGAAATTAACCTGCTTCCGTTTCAAGGCTTACACGCTGGGGTAACTGAACAAAGTTCGAGTCCAGAGGCACCCTTAAGACTAACAAAGGTTAATTCTGGGTATAAGCTTTTGTGTGCAGGCACTTTTTTGGTCTTAAAGGTGTCACTAGACTCAAACTTTGTTGGTCTTAAGGGTACCACTGGACTAAAATATTGTTCTATTGCTTCAGACCAACATGGCTACCCACCTGCATCTACACTAGAGTAATATTATCTGTCAAAAACGTGCCTCCAAAGGTGGCAAAGTTCGAAGCAGGTAAATTTATACTATTGAATTCTCATTTATACCTAGCAAAAACTCTCTAGCTACTAGAACAACAGTGGGTTCAGATGTTCTGCCTTCAGGGAACACTTCACTCTCCAGCTGAGGATTCCAGGGCACCCTTAGTTCACATAGGGGCCCTGGCCCAGCATGTTGAACTAGAATAGTGGTTATCGACCAGAGGTACACGTACCGCCAGTGTGGCAGAGAAGTAATAGAAGGTGGGATGCAGGTTTTTCAAGG